AGTATATACATATTTCTCTTAATTTGATTGATAGACTGACAACTTTGCTATTCAGAAGAACAAAAGAGTCTTTTACATGAAAATAAAAAAGTGTTACCCCGTGGAATCATATGTTGAAGAACTCCGTGCACCTTTTGCCCTTCATTTAATAAACTCGATCAAATGTCTGCATTGGTGATGATGATTAAATGATGTTGATTTAATTTCAACGACCAGCAATAATGCTACTTCAATAATAAACCCTACACCCCCTTCTTCAACACTTTTCTTGTGCTGTGTTTTTGTGTGTAAGTTTGGTGCGAGAGCGTCTGAATATGTGGTCATGGTGCTGTTGGGATTTTATGACTCAAACACCATTTTAGTTGAAGTAGTCAAAGTAGTTAAATAAAAATATATTTTTACTCTATTTTTTTGGAAAATTTTATGCATTATTTAATTAATTAATTTAGGAGATATTTTTTAAAGTTGGTTACAAATTATGTAGTATAAATATTTACTTTTTTTTATTTTTTTGTCTCTTATACTTTAAAACCACAAAAATTGGTATCAAGAGCAAAAAAGATCTTACAGGACCTGTGATATAACCCACAAACACCTACAACCACAAAATAGCCATCACACATAAGATGGAATCTCAAACATCCTTTACTACCGTTTCTGTACCTGTATTTGATGGACAAAACTATCAAATGTGGGCTGTCAAATTGGAAGCATATCTAGATGTTAACGATGTGTGGGAAGCGGTAGAAGAGGAATACGAAGTGTCTCTCTTGCCAGATAATCCTACGATTGCTCAAATGAAAAATCACAAAAAAAGGAGGCTTCGAAAGTCCAAAGCCAAATCAATTTTGTTCACAGTCGTATCTCCGATCATTTTCAACAGAATAATGACATTGAAAACGGCATATGAAATCTGGAAGTTTTTGAAGGAAGAGTATCAAGACAATGAGAAAATCAAAGGAATGCAAGCTTTGAATCTGGTTCGAGAACTTGAGATGCAAAGGATAAAAGATCCAGAGACAATCAAAGATTATGCGGACAAGCTTCTTGGCATTGCAAACAAAATACGTCTTCTTGGCACTGATATTCCTGAATCTCAAATTGTTCAAAAAATACTTATAACAATTCCAGAAAGATATGAAGCCACATTGACTTCCTTGGAGAACTCAAAAGATCTTTCTACTATTACCTTGGCAAAACTTTTGACTGCACTTCAGGCTCCAGAACAAAGAAGACTCATGAGAGAAGAAGGTCATATTGAAGGGGTTTTGGTAGGTAAATTTCTGAAAAACAAGGGTAAGTCTTTCAACCACAAAAATGATAGCAAATCCTCTCATGTTTTTCCATCATGTCCTTTTTGTAAGAAAAAAAAATCATCCAGAGACCAAGTGTTGGTGGAGGCCAGATGTGAAATGTCATAAATGTGGACAATTAGGGCATGTGGAGAAAATTTGTTAGTCATCAAAACCACAAGAGAATGTACAAGCTCTAATTGAAGGGGGTGAAGAAGAAGATCTTTTTGTTGTTTCTTGCTTTGCCACTGCAAGATCAACAAAAAGTTGGCTAATTGATAGTGGTTGCACAAACCACATGACTAACGATCAAGAATTATTCAAAGATCTTGATGCAACATACAACACAAATGTCAGAATTAGAAACGGAGAAAAAATAGCGATGAAGGGCAAAGGAACCATGTGATCAAAGGTTGCACAGGTTTGAAATTAATTACTGATGTTCTATATGTTCCTGAAATTGACCAAAACTTGTTGAGTGTTGGCCAACTTCTAGAGAAAGGCTATAAAGTTCTATTTGAAGATAAAACCTGCATGATTAAAGATTCAGATAATAAAGAATTATTCAGAGTTCAAATGAAAGACAAGAGTTTTGCTTTGAATTTGATTGATGAAGAGTAATTTGTTGTGCACAAGGTTGAAGACAATATGCAGGTACAAGGGCTACCCAAACTAGAAGAGAAATCACCCGTATGCGCAACTTTGCAATATGGAAAACAAACAAGATTGCATTTCCCAAAAGAAAAATCCTGGAGAGCAACAAACAAGCTGCAATTAGTACATATGGATGTTAGAGGACCTAAAAGAACCCCATCTGTGAATGGTAAGCAAGTAAAGCTAGTTGGTGAAAGTCAAAATGAACCAGAAAAATTAGAGGAAGAAGAGCAGCCTAAGACAACTCTTCCCGAAGCAGAAGCTGAAAATGTGGAAAAGCCAAAAGAGAAACTACAAATAGATGAGGAAATTGCAGAAGATTGTAAGGACGTGAAGATTAAGCAAGAAATTGTGATCAAGACTTCCAAAAGTGAAGGAACTTTAGATGATACGATTAAGGACGAAAAAACTTAGTATATGCTGACTTTGAGTCAAGGAGGAGATTGTTGGGATTTTGTGACTCAAACAGCATTTGGTTGAAGTAGTCAAAGTAGTTAAATAAAAATATATTTCTATCCTATTTCTTAGGAAGATTTTATGCATTATTTAATTAATTAGTTTATGAGATATTTTTCAAAGTTTGTTACAAATTATGTAGTATAAATATTTATTGCTTATTCTCAATAAAATTATCAGTTTCCCTTTTATTATTTTGCCTCTTATACTTTAAAACCACAATAAGTGCTTCCATTTTGTGATCCCATGGTGGCCCAGCGTTTTGGTGGTGGTCCCGTGGTCCCGACGTGTTGAAAATGGTCCCGGATGTTGGTGGTGAGTGTTGTGGTTGGTGGAAGGAGAAAGGTGGTGAAACCAATATTCGAGGTAAGCACTTGCGGTCATGAAACATCTTTAATCAGCATTCGAAATGTAGTTAAGGGTTTGTCGGCTATGAACACCAATTAAGGATCGTCGAACTTCAAGTTACGGCAGAACCTTAACCGGTGTTCAAATGCCGGTAAACCTTAACCAGTGTTCAAACACCGGCAAACCTTAATCGCATTTTTAACACCGGTTAAGGCTCCACTGCATTTCGAACATCAATTTATGTTCTGTTCTAATTCAAAAATTTAGTATTTTTTTTATATTTTTTTTATATATTTTATTTATTTAATTATTCTGAGTTTACTTTTAATTTATAATATTTATATTATTTAGTTATTTTTAGTATTTATTTAATAGTTTATTTATCATTTGTTAATATATTACTGTTTTTTATTTGTTATTTAGTTTTGAATATTTTTTTATTATTTGTTATGTGTTAATTAATCTTGTCTTTATTAGTTTATTTTTATACGTGTTTAGTTGTATTTAATTTTTAATAAGTATTTATTTTTTTATTTAGTATTTAGTTTGTAACATTTTTTGTATTTTTTTTAGTAGTTAATGTTTTTTTTCTCTTTTAATCTTTTTAACTTTTGATTTCATTTATAATATGTTTATATTTTGTAATTATTATTTAAATTTTAAAAGGTTATTTTATTTGCTATTTATAATTTAATTTGTAATATGTAATAATATTTTTAGCATTTAATTATTTTTAGAATATGTTAATTTTTTATTTATTTATAGTATAATTGATCTTAAATTTTGTTGTTTTTTATTTAATTTTGAATTTATGTCTTAATGTTTCTAATTTTTTATTCAATTTATAATATTTGTAATTTTTTATTTATTATATATTGTTTAATATGTTATGTTGTTTTTATTTATTAGTTAATTTTGAATATGTAATAATGTTTTTAATTTTTTTTATTTAATTTATAATATATTTATGTTTTTTAATATTTGATGTTTTTTTTTTACTTTAGTATTTAATTTAGAATTTGTGTTCTTCTTGTTATTCGATCGAGGAATATGTAGTGATAACTATGTTTATTATAGGTTGTAATTAATATTATAGGATGGGTAACTATCTATTTGTCGATTATCAAATAAATTCGGGTTTCGTGTTCGAATTTTCTTCTTTCCTAAATGAACTGGCTGAGGGTCACTATACAGATAAGTTTTTCACTGATGAAATCTTTCCTACACACGACAATTTAATTGAAAGGGTTCGAAAAATAGCATTCGACCTTGGATTTGTTATAGTGTTTATAAGATCTGACACCGCAAGTGGTGAAGCTAGAAGAAAGACATTTGTTTGTAAGTTTGTGAAAGAAGTGGGAAGTGTATGAAGTACAAACCAGATGTCTAGCCTAATGTATCCGACATAAGAAAATGTGAGTGTTCGTTTAGGTTGAGGGGTTAACCTAAAGGAGAGGGTTGAGCTTTAAAGGTTATGTGCGACTATCATAACCATGAATTAGTAGAGACTTTAGTTGGTCATCCTTTCGCTAGGAGGTTAAATGTTGTTGAACACCAAATTCTTATTGACATGACCACGAGTCAAGTAAAGCCCTCAAATATTCTTTTGACTCTCAAAGAACATAATAAAGCTAATGTCACTAGTACAAAAATAACCTATAACGTCACGCGTTCAACTTTCAACCACTGAATAACCAACGTTAAAAATGAGCGGTGACAATTTTGTAAATAAATGCAATTATTAAACGTCGTTTAGAATTGTAATTCGACGTAAAAGGATATAAAATGTCGAATGGCTTTTAAATTCGACGTCAAAAGGTTAGTGAATTCAATAAATATTTCAGCGAGAGATTGAAAATTCATTCACTTTATCTTAGCGCGCGATACTCTTCTCAAACTTTTCTCGAACGAAGTTTGACGAACATCACATGTACTCTTTCTTTCATTTGATACAAATGCATGTTAGTTAATTACTTTGTGTATGATTTTTATTTGTTTTAACTGATTATTTTCATGCTCTTGTCCTTCATAGGCGCATTCTTCTTTCTCTCTCACTATGACGAAACTTTATTCCGACGAACTCACCTTTTGAAGGTTGGTTTTTCGTTTTCAATTTCATTTTGAAGAACTTATTTGTTGAACTTATTTGATGTTTTTATGTTGAACTTCTTTGTTGTTGTCGTTTAGTTGAACTTGTTTGTTGTTGTTGTTTGATTGAACTTGTTTGTTGTTGGTTATTATTGTTTGTTGTTGATACTACACTACACGTTCATAGTTCGTGCTTTATAAAACAGAAAAAACTGAAATTTGTTATTTTTTTTGCTTTTTAGGTCTCGTAAAGTTGTAAAAAAGGATCACAATTAATTAAAAAAACAAAAAAATTGATTAAAGTTGAATATTGACAAAATTCAACGTTAAGTTAACGTTGTATATTAAATAAATTCGACGTTAATTTGACGTCGAATTTTTTTAATTCATCGTTAATTTAACGTCCCCTAATATGACGTCGTTAGCGAATTCGCCGTTAAAAGTCCAAAATATTCGACGTTGTACGCGATTTTTGTACTAGTGTGTGACCACTATAAAGCAAGTATATAATGTGAGGTACACATACAAACGATCTTTGAGAGGGTCGAGAACTTAAATGTAGTAGTTGATGATGTTAGATAAAGATAAATACATCCAATGGAGTAGATCTTTGGACGATTTTAATGTGGTAAGTGACCTGTTCTTGACACATCTCGATTTAGTGCACTTATTGAATTCATTTAATATTGTTTTCTTGATGGATACCACGTACAAGACGAACAAATATCGTCTTTTGTTTCTTGAGATTATTGGAGTCACATCAACTGGTTTAACATTCACAACCGTCTTTACATTGCTTTTAAGTGAATACCAAAATAATTTCGCTTGGTCATTGGAAAAGTTCAAAGGATTATGCATGACATCAAAGGATAGCCCACGCGTTGTTAGCACTGATAGAGACCTTGCTTTAATGAATATCGTTGGCAATATATTTCCTGAGACGTATCAGATGTTTTGCACATTCCACATTATGAGGCATGGGATGTCTTGATGGAAGTGTGGCAAAATGTGATGGACTGTGACAAGTAGTCGATGTTTAGTGCTTATGTTTATCGTCTTGAGTATGTCTCTGCTACATTGTCTCTATATTTTGAATATGTGAACCATACATGGACCATCTCGTGCAAGGTATTTCGTCAAGACATGGACAAACAGAGTGATACATCTAGGCAACACTAACCCAACCTTGCAATGTGCTCAGTGTAATAAGTAAACAAGGAGGTGTCCTGTGGACCTCCTAGGAATCCACCTTCATCTTCTTCCTCACGAACATCCTCCTGCTAAACATCCTCTTGCTCAACATAATCATCCTCAGGATACCCCTGCTATATATACTCCTCATGCTCATCCCCATGAATGACGTCCACGTGACTTTCTTCAATGCGTCTTCTACGAGCATATGTCGTAGGTCCTCTCCTTTCATCATGTGATGAAGATTAAGTCTCACCACGAGAAGATGATGCACCTCTAGTTCTAACCATTTCTATTAACCAATGCAAAATAAATTGGATTAAAAATATAATAACAAACAAATACAAAAAAACAACAAATAATTACATAATAATAAATATTTAAACAAATAATAAATAATAAAGAATACAAATTAATAATAAACTAAGAAAGAAATACACAAAACTTACTTAATAAATAATACTTAAATCATTATAAATTATAATAAAAACATTACAAATTAAAAATAAATAAGAAACAAATTAAAAAGTAAAAAAAAAACTAATTACATAATAATTATTATTTAAATAAATAAAATATTTCAAGTACATTACACATTCAAAACAAATTAATAAACAACTACAAAAAAAGTAAACAAAAATAATTACATAATGAATAATATTTAAAGAATTATAAATTATAAAAAAAAACACAACAAATTAAAAATAAATTAACAAACAAATAAAAAAGTCAAAAAATACAACAAATAATTAAATAAAAATTAGTATTGAAATAAAGAAAGAAATATCAATAAATAATTACATCCAAAAAAATGTTTATTAAAAGACAACAGACATCAATTTAATGTCTTCTGACGTCAAATATTTAACATTTAACATACGTTTAAAATTTTAAAATAACAAATGTTAAAAAACTATTTTTGTGTTAGTGTTGGCTTATCTGTGTACACAAGATGGAAGATGGAGTGGTGTGTGACATAATTAATATTGTTATCTTTGGGGATAAAAAATATATACGAAATAAACTTAATAGATGTCAATTCGTATGAACAAATTTTCCAAAGCAAATGGCAATTACGTTGAAGCTATTTTCTCCAATTGCCTAGTCAATAGCAAGAAATTTCTTATTTCTTTCAAGTAGTTTTACAATATGCTCACTTGCAAATAACTTGCAATTAAAAATCCAACACTGGATGCCTACCAGCAAATATTAGATTAAATAAACATACCACTACTAACCAGAATTAATTAATACCACAAAACTTACGTAGTTCCTTATTAACAATTTCAACTCAATATGGTGTTAAACTATCCAATAATTCACTGGTAGAT